TTTTTCTTTCAGTCTTTCATGACCATCGGTTTCTTCGCACCTCTTTGTCTCGTGTTGTTGCAGCAGGTGGAATGACTCGTGTCGATCGTGGCACGAATCTCTGAGTCGTCCCTCTCTCTCAGCTCGCTGGTATAAATGTGTATCAGACCGTGATCACATGTTGTGGCTCCAGTTTCCTCTCAGCGCGGAGCGGAGCACGTGACGCGGCTCTCCGTGGTGTCAGAGTGGAGAAGAAACAGGTAAATTCACTGGCTCTCGCTTGTTGTGGCAGCGGGTCGGCTTCGTTGTGTTTCCTCGACTGTAGCGACACCGGCTCGGGGATAAAATCCTGTCCTACGACCTGACTCGAAGGGCGACAGCGAGACCACTCGTCGGTCGGTGGTGTAGCTGTGTTAATATTGAGCCGGGGTTTCTGGTCAGTATCGCCTGATATTTATTTTCATGTTCGGGGCCTGCGGGCCTGTTTTCAGCCTCGGTGTTTTCCGCGCCGAGACCCCGGCCATCGTGTCACACCTGGGCCAGACCGGTCGGGACCGACGCAGAGCAGCGGTGCGGTTTATAGAGCCGCTCCTGTGCTAACGTGGCTAACCAGCTAACGTGCTGCAGCTAGTTGGGGCGACATTGGGTCGTGGAGTTAGCATGGCTAACAGGCATTAGCCGATAACTAGCAGTGACATGGGCGTTTTGGGTTTTGTTCGGCGGAACGTGGGAGCTTCGCTGCTCGCTAGCTGTCGATTAGCAAGGTAACTTATTGATAACCACGCTTAGTTGGCTAATGCTAACAGCCCAGCGACACACAGCCAGTCAGCGCTACTTGGTTAGCCGACTAGCTAGCGGCTGTTATAGAGTTAGCCTCGTAGTCGCCATGAGGTGAAGCGGCGACAAGCGGAAGCCCACCAAGACTTGTGAGCTGGTTGCCTTCCCTTCGAGTATTAGCCAATTGGCTAGCGTTTTGGCCATGTGGCTGGCTAGTGGAGTCGATATGTCCGACGGGGCCTGGTTTTAGCCTTGTTTGTGGGCTAGCCCACACAGGGTTTTACGTAACGTATGCAAGATTAAGGAGTAGCGAGGCTCCAGTTCACTGTGGTGGAGAGAAGAGGCTGACTGGTTTCACTGTTTCTATCTCATCCTCCTCGTCTGATGCCAGATTCACTGCAGATCGCTCAGTCGTCGGCTGTTCGATCACATGTCATTTCACAGTGTAGGTTGTGAAACAGCACTGGGGTTGTTTTGATATAGATAGTGTTGCATAATATTCTCCAGCGGTAGATAGTATAACCTATACTATGCACTTGTGAGCGTGGTGTGCATCAACACCCCAGTGAACCGTGGCACTGTGGATCTGCGGGTCAGTCCCTCTGCTGGCAGAGGTTCGAGACATTGGCCCAGATATGGACTGAAAAGCACCAGACGTCTCGAAATCAAAGCTGCTGATGTCCCGTTGTTATCTCTGAGCACCCCCCACTTGGCAGTAAGCTGCCAGTCAGTTTGAGGAAGTGGTGTTCATGTGTATTGGAAGTGTGTGTGATTTAAATGGGTCACAGTCACAGGTCTGTAACGCCTCTCTCCTCTTTCTCTCCTTAGGTGTTATTCCTTTGTAAATACTGTTATTTGTATATACTGTAAATGATGACGTCCATGGGCGGGAACCGAGCCCGGGGCAGCTGGGAGCAGACACAGGGCCAGACACAGAGTCAGACACAGCACAAGCAGAGGCCTCAGGTAACCTCACCACCTGCCATGCTGCCCAGATGCAAAATGATTTTCATCAGGATAACTGTTGGCAAATCAAGAATCTCTAAATGTTCCTATTTTGGTCAAATGTTTGTACTACACAAATAAAATTGTGCCTACAACAGCTGGGGTCAGTTACAACCCTATTAAATACCCATTTGAGAAGTTTCTTAGCTTGACTAAAGCTCAGTATGGACTACCAACAGTAACAACATATTTTGACAGTTGCAAGGCGAATCCCTGATTTTCGGCTTTAGGATTACAGCTACTATTTAGAGTACTCATGTAGAGTCCAACAAGAAGTTAAGTGACCACTGGTGGCAGTGCGTCCAACTATGCTGACGCTAATGTAAATGCACTGTTAAGCTGAGTCAGCCTCAAGTTGACACAGCATCTCTGAACACTGCCATGACAGAATAGCAAAGAAAAGTTTGTCAGTAGCAAACACTGCATGTGTCATTTCTCTCGCCAAACGAATCAAAGCTTGTGCTTCGTTTTTTGTTGACACATGATGTTGGATCGTTCCCTCTTCTTGGAACAGGCCACTGCAGAGCAGATCCGACTCGCACAGATGATTTCAGACCACAATGATGCCGACTTTGAAGAGAAGGTCAAACAGGTGAGCAGATGCACAGCCTGTTGTCCCAATTCTTCCACACGTAGCTTTCCTGTGTAGTTGTTCATGCTCATTTGAAAAGGGTAGAGGGGACTTATATGTTTAAGCACTGGTGCATGTAGTATTACATCAGTTGTGTCTGTATTGAGTGCACAAGCATGTTTCTGATTCATCATATTCTCAAAGAAAGAATTTAAAGATAACGTACTGTAAATGTTAACCTGTTTTTAAACTATGTTAATGAACTATTGTAATTAAATGTAAGAATGTCTATTTTTTTAGCTACAAATATTTTTTAAACTTAAGACAAAATACTGATCTGCTCAAACTCAGCTCCATCATAGATTTCATTACATATCTTCATTTAAACCAGATAAGCACTTTATCTTAGTCATCATTATACAGAATCTGACAAAAATAATGCCTAATTTAATGATTGCATCCAAGTAAAAAAAAAAATTGAGCAAGAACCACTAAAAGATCCTGAT